AACTGCCCTTCTAAAGGACATTCTAAAAAAGTTCAAAAAGAGGGATCACATCATTTACATCTAGGGTTCGTTCTTTCACACTGAATGGTGAATTACTGGGATTCTTCCACAGAACACATAATATCAACACCTTATTTGAATACGTTCAAAGAGGGGTTAGAACTTTATGATGCTACAAACTGCATGGACTAATATTGGTCAGATTACCTCCGATCATCTCTAGTAAAGATTTAAAGACTGAATGTTAAAATTACAGTAATTTGCAAAGTAAACGCTTTTAAAAATCTAAACACTGGAAATTGACATTACTTATTATTGAAAATTGGCACTTCCTATTGAGTTGAAAAATCATTTTTACTGATGTTTCATTACTTAGTCCTGGTGGCGTTATTAAGCTGGTAGTCTTACCTTGACGAACATATTAGCATTAAATAATGAAACTTTAGTAAAGACAATCTTTCTTAAATTTGCCAAAATTATTACTCACTATATAGCTTTCTCGATTTAAACCTTAAGATTCCTAAGACGAAGTTTGCTAGTGTTTAAAACAACGTAAATAATGGAACTCAAAGGTGGCATTCAACCACATGCTGCCGAGTTGACATGATTAATAATATCCATTTATCGATATCATGAAGCATGTTTTAGTGAAAGTTGTGACTTACTCTAACAGTTTTAGAGGTTCGCCCCTTGGTACTGCTACGTACCTATGATTCTCCATTATGTCGCCAACACTTTCTATCTTAGTTCCCGTATTCGGTGATACGATACAACGGATAGCAGGGACATACTGTCCCAACTGCTTCCTCACCTGTTCCATGAATGAGCTCCATGTTAGAGCTAGTCTCTGATTGATAAAAACGCGTCTCCCTGGGTTGAATGTATCTCCATTTCTATGGACTATAAATGATACGCCATTTCGTCTATCACAACATGAGCTTTTGACTCTACAAAGACAAGCAGTGCAACGGCGCGCATAAACAGACATTGTATAAATAAATTTTTGTATTGCCACCCTGTTAGCATTGTCAAGGTCAAAAGCGCAGTATGTCCAATATGCCAAACTTAACTTTATAGAATAGAAGAAATACTTGTCCCTTAGGATTCAGCGTGCGTGTTGTGATAGCCTTTTGGTAATAAAACAAAATTTCACGAGGCTTGAATAGAGGATATTAATGACTGTTCAAGCCATTTTGCATCGATACAGTTCTAGCAGAGAATATAGAAGTGATCTAAATGTTTGAAATATTTGTTCCGATCCAAAAATCCGTCTTGAGATACAAATGCTTCCATTTTTATTAGTGACAGTGAGTTATTTTCAAGGAAAAATCCACATTGTTTTCATAGCATTGTCTGAGTTTCGAAGTAATACATATATCACTACTCAAAACTTAGCATCCTTAGCCGTTATTCGGCGTTATCCAGAAAAGATTCAGCGGACTACAGCAAACCTACCAACAGTATCAAGAAAACGAAATCTCTGTTTATAAACGTGCGAGGGAATCGATAATTGTTTTTATGAGAATATGCTAAATACAGAACAATAAAAAAATAAAACAGTACATCCAAGCGACGTGTTCTTAATCTTAAGATGGTCAACCGAAGAAAGGAAAAACGGATGATGGTTATATGATTGTTACTTTGAGATGGAATAGCAAAGATTCGAAATTATTAAAGACGCCACAGTTATTCGAAGTTTGACATTGCCTTTACTAGCTGCACCTTTATAATCGAAGTGTGCCAACCTAGTCACATCAAGAGTAAAAAATGAATAGGTTCAAAAATACATTTAAAGACTATCGATATGTCGACAGGCGTTTAATCTAAGTTGGCTGACGGTTGAAGGAAACGTGTAGCACTCGTAATATTGTGAGGATGTGTGACCGGTCGCCTTCAGCTAGACGTGTCCATTAGAATTAATGATGTCAGCATCAAATATTGGGGACTTACAGAAGCATTTGCTTCAGGAATTTTTTAACCTCCACATGTTGAGATTCAGTAAGAATGCATTAGTCTCAACGAAATGATTTCACAGTGCAAAATCAGAATAAACCTGTAATCTGGCTTCAATATACTTTAGATTCTCTCTACTTAGGTCTGACAAGCAATTATTAGGATAAATGACTCTTTCACACTAGGAAACAATAGGAAATGGTTGACAAAGTAGTTTTGGGAACATTTATTCTGCTCGGTTCAAGTTATCACATTCACCGTTACAAGTTGCTTTACCTAACTAAAACACTCGTCACGAAACCTGCCATTGAGGACCTATGGTAAAAAAGGGCTTGGTATTTAATGTTTTAAACGTATCTAGTAACAGTATATCAACCCGATGTCTTCTAGAGTTTTGGATTAGCTTAACGTCGTACACTGGATGAGTTCACTTAAAAACGTGTAATGTTCCGTCACAAAATCTGTCATCATGGAATAATTAGCTTTACAGTCACATTTATTCGTGCCTACATACCTAAACAGGATTGTTTTAACCGAATTAATAGCTAACGAATCTAACAATCGAAGGCTGTATGAGTTTGTCCTTCTAGTTCGTGTTTCAGAGAATACCCAAGCAATTTTCTGAAGTAAAATCACAACCCACACTGGTGACAAACTTGATGTACACTTTGAAATTGACTAATCACAGATCGCGTTATCTACAAGTCGATAGCAATATGGACTAATACTAACGTTTATGTTGGTTGTTCCCAATTCACTATTATTTATGAACTTAAATCGCTCACAACAAGATTGTATGGATTTGTCTGGTGAGAAGGAAGTTCAGACTTTTACAAGATTCTGTAGGACTATTTTCTCAACTAACCTTATTCAACGATATCTTTGACTCAAGGAAAAAGTGGCGTTTATTCTTCAACTTCACGTCAGTCGTCCTCGTTTGAATTAACTCTTATCATATTTAGATATTAAATTAAAATCTCACTAATATTGTCATCTATATCCTATCTTTCTTCTTAGTCCCGGCTGCTGGGTTTGTCAAAATAATCCTAATTAGCCACTTTGACTCGAGCGTCAGAATGTGGCTAAACCGCCATAAAGACACTAGGGTAAATAATAAAGAATGAAATGATATATAGGATTTGAGAGTAAGTTGTGCTCGGTATGGAAATCAGAATTTAACATAAAAACGTGTTTCATAATTCTTTAGAACATTTACTACGTTTTTCACTGAATACCTTGATGGGAACTGAAATTCACAGGCACTAGTGAGTGTTTTGGTTAAGGCGCCACAGAACTTCTTATGATGGCGATTCCAAGTCGCATGGACCTATTTTGTTTTGTGCGATTGCTCTACACTTACAAACGGGGAGTCGCAATACTCTATCGTTGGGCAACTCCTCGTTTCATTGCTAACTCGAGACTTAACCTTAAATGACCTATTTCTGTCTACTGCATGACCGCTACCGATCAAGTGTGACAGAACCGAGCTGCATATTTTCTTGACAGTACCTTTTCCTATGGAGATGTTCACCAACTCTTTGGCTCAGTTGTCTAGTAGTGCGCCAAATATAGCTTTCTCCACAGGATCAGCTGAATTCATAGGCTTGCATATAAGTGGCAAAACCGGGTAATATGTCTGTACTCCGTTGAACCAAAGATTATTTTAAAATGTGCCCATAAAATCGAACATGAAACACCCTTCTTACAATGACATTTTAACTGATTTAACGAATTTATGTAGTCAGTTGGTATTGATGAGCAGATAACTCTCGATCCTTGATTCAACTGAGTTGTATGTATGACATAATAAAGAAGTCGGAGATTTCGACTGTTCGTAAGAAACGTTTATAAATGAAAGTGCAATTCAACTGGGATGTGGCTAGTGACACTCTGAGATAAAGGTTAACTAAATTATTCACCAGGACATTCTACGCAGCCAATCTTGCGTTGAACTCCTTTTGTCGACCAGCGATGTCTACTCAAACGAAGGATAAGTTACCTGAGTTGGCCTATTCCATATTCATTTACAAATTCAGCTGCTCCTGTGGAGGTAGCTATATGGGGCGTACTACCAGGCAACTTAACCAACGAATGAGTGAACATCTACCAACTTGATACATAAAGGGCCAGAGAAAATCTATATGCAGTTCTATATTGGCACATCTCATTGATAGCGGTCATGCTGTAGATAAGTTGAAATCATTTCGAGTTATCCATCGTATACCTCCATCATTTCCCGACGGAGTTCGTTCCCGCCTCCTACATATAGCTGAAGCCATTGGAATTCGTATATATAACCCCAATTTATGTGAACAGAAGAAATACATAACCCCCTATACCTCCCATGGCCAGTTATAATTTAACTAACGATATTTTTTAAATTTTATTATTATCATTATTTATTTTATTCCATTTTGTTATCATTAACCTTATTGCCACATCCACTATTTGTTTGTAATTTTGCGCCTCTTTGTATTCTTCACTATCTAATTATTTACACACATCTTATTACGTAATGATTTTAATGTTTTGTGATTACTATTTCTAGTCTATTTACCCATGTTTGTTTGACCTTCTATTTCCAACGATTAACTATTGATAAGAGTTTTGTTATTGTATTTTATTATTCTCACTATTATCAGTTCACCTGTCTTCCTACTTCTATCAACTTGTACTATTACCTATTATGTGTAGAGACTTATTCTATTTCATTGTGATTATTGACCCACATTGCCTTGATTGGTTTAACAGTTTCGTATAAATATTCATGTATATTAAAGTAAAGCCTGATGACGATCTAATTGAAAACAATATTGTTCGCTTATATGTGTTGTTCAACTGAGTTGCACATTTTGTACAAGACTATTGGTTAGATTGAAGAATTAGTTTTGGTCAATCTAGGTTAACTATCACCAGGAGGTCGTCTCTTATGAATTCGAGTTGAACGTAAATATCTGAAAACTGACCGGATGGCTAACAATCATGTGATCCAGTTCAATGAGCTAAAAATCCTTATAGTTAGTAAAAGAGATTGAAGGCTGGTTTTTGAGAAAAGATTCATTTATTTGAAAATTTACATTGATAAAATTTATCACACTGACAAATTAATCTTGATTTAATTGCAAACTTTTATGATTGCTTCATTGATCATTTCAGCTGTATAACCTTCTGCACAATAGTTGTAAAGAGTGGAAAAGTGTCCTCCAACTTCTGGAGCCTGAAGTCATTTCAAATAGAAAAGATCCTTTAAATTTTAATCAGATATGTTGTGTTTAGTCTGAATATCCTAACAGGTAATACTGAGTATTTTATAGTTTTATGAGTATATTATCACTAAAGTTAGATGATGAAATTCACAGTTGTTATGAAGTACACCAATGCGGCTTGTCCAAAACATGTGTCAAAATGAATGCCAAAACAAGTAAAACTAAACAATCCAATAAGAGCAAATAACAAATATCAATCTCCATTCGTTGCTTCACGTATAGCTGATGTTGGTCATGAGATTGATCTTAACAAAGAATTCCTGGTGGTACAAAGGTGAATAAGTAGGTTGTTTTGAACTTTGGCCCTACGGATGTTCAGTATTTTCCTGTATGTTCAGAAACAATTGGTACTTTGCTAAACTTATCTTGGAGGTATTCATTTATTATCCACAGTTGTTTCATTCATATCAGTTTTCTTTTTGTCTCTATTTTACGTCCATATTTCATATTGTTCTCTTGGTGTCTATTTTTCATATATATAAACCCTTTAACAATGTGTTATCAGATTGTTGGAAATGTATGGGGCTAATGTTCATTTTGTTTTGTGATCCGAAAACAACAATTGTTTCATTGTTTTCTTGGCTTCACTGTTAATTCAAATAAGTCTTATTGAAAATCGCTGTTGATATGGTTTATTATGTGAGCGAAATCTGCAATCTATTTATTCAGTCGATTATTTGTCGTCTAACCAAGACCAATATTGCATTTTACAGACACAGAAGTCTTCAGCTATATGTTTTGCAAGCTCTGAAGTCTGTTACATTCAGTGCTTAACATAAATATGTTATCTATGTACGCTGAATCAAACAGGTCTCAGATCAGGAGAACTGTATTTGAAGAATCTCAGGTAAAATGAAATAGATAATAACAAACATTTTGTTGTACATGTAACTCAAGTTACTTCCTTCTCTGTAAATTATTTCTGTCAGCTGTGTTTTCGCTTTAGAATCTATATTCAGTAACTCATTGTTTCAATCAAACCGACCTGAAATCATTGAGTGTTTATGATAGAGTAAAGCTGACATCATTTTGAATCAGAGTCAATTTTCATGCTACTTCTCTTTATACACTTATTACTAACAGAATGACTGACGTTCTAGGTTTCTCTGTCAACATTGTTTAAACATTTAAGATCTCTCATCTGGTAAACTTCGAGTGAAAGCCAAAATAGTAGACCACAAGTGACTCACTCATGACTATGTCAACCTATATAGAAAAGTGTACGCTTCTCAATAAAATATAAAGGATCTATCAACATATCGAAGTGAGTATGTGAGATAAATTAGGAGGAATGTGTTTGGAAGATTGGTCCACTCAGATGAAAGTATTTACCTGTTGCAGTGTGAAACATTTACTTTTGAATTGTTCATAGACGGATTCTGTACAATCCAACGTTTGATCGATAGTTGCCTTGGCAATAGGTTTTTTTTCATTATTCATTACTTTCACTATTAATTTCATAGTATCTTCAATGAGATCTCTTCTCTGTCAAAAAGCAAATTAAAACACTGTTAAAAAGTAGATAGGTAAATATACATCTAAGGAACATAATATACGAGCAGAGTTTGTTAATGGTACGATTGAGTTGTCCTAAAAATCTTTTCACTTGAAACAAACGTATCAATATTAGCATCTTGTAAACGTCAAACAGGTGAAGGCAGAATGTTCAGTGTTTTAGTTCATATCACTGGTTGATCTCTCTTACATAGCTGTTTTATAAAGAAAGAAGCAATGGAAAGTTGTTTCATTCTAATGTGGACTTCTCGACAGTGTGGAAAGATGACCCCATCGAGAGTCGAACCCGTGATCATCACATCCCTGTGTGAGCTCTTCACCTTCAAACCACTGATTTTTCATATAATAGTTTTCACGTCTTATTAGGATCAGTCCATGATGTAAACAATGAAGTTCAACAATCTCTACAGACGACCTAGAATGAAAATGTCCGTCAGCGATCAAAAAGTACTACAAAATAAATGAAGAGAAGTTAAACAACCCTAAATGGCTTTTTATGCTGATCTTATTGGTGAGAAGAGAATGATAATGATTTACGATGAGATTTATTACTGCATAGATCTCTGGTTTCATTTTTAGATAAGTGGATGTCAAAAAAACTCATAGTTATGTTATGCTTTACACATTTATAAATAAAACAGTAACATATCTGTGAAGTCATTCACATAAGAGTAATTAGCATCAATCAAGTATTGTTTGCGAATTCATAAAAGCACTTTGAATCTGGTGAACTGATCAGATGTTAGAATAGTACCATGGAATGTATCAAGCTACTTTTTGGACTTTCATTAGGTTGATTCACTTTGTATATCTCATACTACTGTGAAATTTGATAGTAATAATCAAAGTTTTGAAGAAACTGAAGATGCCACAGATATTTGTAATTCGACATCACTTTAACTGGTAACACTTTCTATAAATGAATCGTACCCATACAGTGAAATCAAAAGTCAGAAGGGAGGAGGTTCGAAAATATATTTGATAGGCTATCAGTATATCGAGAAACGAATGATCTAATTGGCTAGCGGTTGCAGGAGGAGTTGAGCACGGCGTTCCCACTCGTGATCTGATGCGGATGCATGACCTAGCGCTTTCAGATAAGTGAGTCCATTAAAACTAATGTGGTCAGCATCCAATGTCGAAGACATACAGAGCTCAGCGAAGAAAATTTTCTTTTCGACGAAATCATTTACTTAAGCTGTACATTCGTATATATAGTTATATGGAAAATGTATGTCTATAGAAGGATAGAAAGGATTGTATCACGAAAAATGGATTCGACAATAAATAACAAATGAGGTTAACGTACTAATCAAGGGGTAAGGAAGAACAAAATTTAAGGGTCAGATGATAGTCCAATTGACAGATTGACAGATATGAAGAAAAACGACAAAACAACAAAGGTCATAATAATAAACTGAATGATAATCAAGTAAACTTGTAAAAGGTAATAATAATAAATGATTAAAGTTTAAAGTGCAAAATAGTAATTTAAAAATATGGATAATAATAAAAGTACATTAGAAAAAAAAAACACCTAGCAACATACCCATTAGGGCCAAGGAAGGATAAGAGGTTGGACAAATCGTTTCTGCACACAAAGTTCAGGCTTCAGTTTGTGGATTGCCAATGCCTCTGCGGTGCATAAAATATTGATTCGAACCCCCTTCGATCCAGTTCCTTTGACTCTGTAAACTATTTTAAACGAAGAGTCTTTTGGAGCGATATGTCCACAGTTGATTAAGTGCTCCTGTATAGAACTCGTGATTGTTTTTCGCTCTCCTTTCAAAAGCCAAGCCGGATAATGTTCCGAGATGCGTTTGGATAATGATCGCTTTGTGCGGCCTATGTAACGTGCCCCACATGAGCAAGTAAATTTATAGATACACATTGAAGTGGCCCAAAGCGAAAGTTTGTCCTTTACGCACCCCAGAATGGTAGGTCGGCTAGAGATTTCGTCGAAAAGAAAATTTTCTTCGCTGAATTCTCTTTTTCTTATTCAATGACACTATGGGTTATTTTAATTACATACAGAGCTATTTATTTTCGGGATTTGTTTACCGCTACAAGACATTCGATGAATCAACTTTTGAAATCACATGGTTACGTAATGAAATACTGAACATTGTGTTAAACTTATCAAGATATAGTTTACGCTTTCTACAAGGAAAAATTATTTGAGTCAGATAGGAACACTGTACTTAACACAATGGTATGAATTCATTCATTTACAACTGAGAAACAATACTATTAACAACGGGAAGACACAAGCACTTAAAAACTGAATTCGTACCCATTACCCCAGATAGTAGAAATCTAGACTTGGTACAGCATGGATAATACGATGGGTATATTTACCGAAGTATACCTGGTTCAAGTTTGTACATAATCATCAACACTAAAATGCGGGTAAATACACCCGAGAAGTCTAAAATAAAAAAAACATGTGCATCCTGGATACCATTGTCAATCGTCCTTCCAACCTTAATTAAGACTTGTGATAAAATGGCATTATTGAGACAGTGTGTAGAGCATGCAATTTTGTCATGAGAGACTGATTAATAACATCAACTTCGGGAAGACACTATCACTTAAAAATAGTACCATTACCACAAAAGTTTTCAGTGAGGTCGATTTGTGGGAAAGGCAATATATATAAAAGTAAGATCAGAAGTGTTTATACAGTTGAGTATTTATGTCCAGACTATTGTGATAATTCTAGGAGAGAAATTCTATAAAATGTGTAATAGTGATAGGTTTTGTAGATATTGAAAACCAGTCTCGAAAATCATGTAACCATAAGTGGAAAAAAATTGGATACATTAACAGAGTTAAATAAGTAATACTCAGGGGAAAAAAACGCCTCACCTTCAATTTCAAACCAAGAATTTCCATTAGTAAGTTTTTGTCTTCTCCATTATTGGTCATCATTATCTGACGACGTAGAGTATGCAATGGAATATCACGTGAAGCGACAAAATCTTTCGGCTAAATGACAACGAAAACATAAAGATGTGTGTCTAGTGTTTGTTTAAATTATGGAACTTCAATTCGATTGACAAAACACTAACATTTTGAGGCATCAGTTTTGTTGATAGGAAATGACTATATTAAATACAACCTAGTCTGCTGATCAATGTAGTCGAAACCTTTCCTACTTGAAACATTGTTCCAAACTGACGAATAGTCTAGGTGACTTTATCGGACTGTCCATTCGACAATTGGATAAAGGAACATTATTCATTCACTCATTTTTCCATGATCATATTATGTTGGTCAGCGATGTTTCAATAGTTCTACGTTTTTGCTAGATTGTAGTGTCGGTTACTGTATTAGGCCCACATAGAATATTATAGCTTCTGGACAGACTAATTTATTCATTCTTCTTGAATCGTATTTTGACCTTGTCAATTGTTCGTTTTTGGATGTGGGTATATGTGTTCACTTCATATCCTATTCATTACATATCTGTAACTTATTTTTGTGTGACAATAAATATTGATCAACACTTGATTAAATGGAGTTGGCTCACACGCCTCCACTGTGCACCATTTCGCTTCACTTTCTTTTCTTCGCTCCTCCGATCTTTCGTCTGGATCAACGATTGTATGAAATATACGTATTTGTAATTCTTCCTCGTATTCGACTTATTTTAATTCCCTTATTCACTAACGCGATTTAAGTTGATTATATAAGAGAATTGACGATATGTATATTTAAATAACAAACATTTACACAGCCAACCCGAAGTCAGATTAAGGGCCACCATAAGATATTAATTAATCGTAACCGTCGGTCAGATATCGTCTTTCTGTATTCTGACACCTAACTGAAACATATGGTATTGTGGTTAACAGCCAAATTTGTTTTCAATTAATATCTTGTTTGTGAAAATCAGTTTCTAGTGTCGTCATCATCCACTCAAACAACCATTCTATTGATCTTACCCTCAGTTCGTCATCAGCGTATTTACTTCCAAACAGTTGAGTGTCTCAAGTAGTATTTGAAAGAAATCAGATGGAAATTTTCAGTGGAAAACCCTATTAATTTCACTAGTTGATAATTAAAACATTAATCAACTGTAAATGATATCCATGTGTACCATGGAGTTTATGAGCATTCTGTTAGCCGCTCACCTACAATAAGTTGATCATAAACATTTAGCAGTTTTATGGAAGTGATTACACATTAATTAAGTATGATTTACCTTCATTGGAGGTTCATCGTTCTCAAGTGAATCCATGTTTCGACTTCCTTGAAATTCACTAACGTGTAATTTACCCATATTCTATCAAAAAACAAGCAAACAAATTGCATTAGATTTGATTATCACAATTGTCTACCATTTCTTATTTAAAAATCAAATCAATTTAAAGACTTCATTTCGATTTGACAAACAATAAACCTACCAATATATGCAAAGATGAATAATGACTAGCAGTGGAATCAAGGACGCGCCTTTCGTCCCATTCGGGTCTCGTCAGTTGGATGTACCTGCACCTCAGAGTTGATGTTCATAGCTGACGAGTCCCGAATAGGACGAAGCGAGCGTCAAACAGCTAATCAATATCCATCTTTGCATATAATGCTTGTGAATTAAGGCTATATCGACGCAATACACACAGTATGCACATATGCGAATAAGAGATTGATCAATTACAATCCTAGACATCAATGGGAATATTCAAACAAACAATACCAAGTGAATATAAACCTATCAGTTTGATGAATATCAAAAGAACATTCATTAGTACTCTTAATTTTTGTTTAAGAAATCATCATTTCAACTGTATTTGGTATGAGTCCATTGTAGTTCCTCTCTTTATCACCGACACTTGTAGTTTGCTGTTAAAATAATATTGAAGATTTATTATTTATTTAAACACATAAATATTAGTACAAGGAGGCATCAAGCAGATATGCGCCACATTCATCATTCGATTTGTTTAAGGGTTGAGTTATTGCCCAGGTGCCCAAACGGAAACAGGTGATTTTCTTATGGGGCCACGCCCCAAATGTCTGGTCCACAAGGCAGTGGAGCACCGTCAGGAGATGCAGTCCCATGTTAGCTGGTGACCAATAATTGGTTCATACTCCATTTTTCTTTCAGGATCCTGGAGCCCATGTATGTGCATGACAATGTATTACAATTTTTATCAGTACTTGTTCGATTGTCAAGTTAGCAGTGTAACATTGCCTGTCATTACCAAATTGAGAGTGTCATATATGATGAATTTTGTAAGTTCTTACCTTATCACCATATCTCTGAACATGACTAAGATTCGTTTCACGTTTAACCTCTCTATACTGTTGGTCGAGTGTTCGTCGTGTCAATTGGTGCTTCAAAATGGAGAGAAATATTAAAAACATTAAATATATTCAATTAAGTGATTAATGTATAAGTGAAAGAATTTAGTGAAAATGGATTATTGTAAAGTTGTGTATTGGTAGTTTGTCTCCTTGTCTTCCATCATCTCCTGTATGGGTTTGAACTCAGTTGTAGCTACCGAGATTCACGGATTATTGTCTGTCCAAAATTAAGTAAACTTGTATGTTTAGGATATAAACCTTCTGTATTCCGCTCTCATAACCAGCATTATTTTGATGTTGTGTCTATAATGTGGTTAATAACAGCCGTTGTTCGACATCACACTACCATATACCATTCATCATAAAAATATATGGATCAACTAAACAGTTGAATAGGTGTTTTCTACGAACACCGTCATCACACAACAATAGACACAGGACTAAGTGTGCATCAAAATCAAAGCATGAGCTTTGAAAGTCGAAACTAGTCATTTAATATAAAGAAATTATGGCTTGTAGTGTGTTGTGTTTTAACATGTGCAACAAACGAGTCACTACACATGCTTGTATCCTGTATCAAATTGAGCCTCTTCAAAAGTAATCAGTTCGAACCGACTATTAAATAGGATAACATTAGTGAATTTTCATTTATTAATTAGTGTATGCGATATAGTTCTGAGAGCAGTTCAGTCGTGATTCACATCACTTAGGACTATTCCGAAATGGTAAACATCCAAAGCTTTCTTATATTTGATTATATGTCTATAGTGGTTTGATATTTTATTAGGTATGTTAACTATATATACGTATAAATTTGTATAGAACATACTGTTTCTGAGTCAATAATCCAATCGTATGAGTATAAATCAGCTAGGCAAGCAACTATTTCTGGATCATCACAAAATGTACCATAACTAGATTCAGTTGGACTAGCAGCTGTAGTCGCGTAAACTGTAAAGTAAAAGGAAAAAAGTCGAGAAAATATTAGATGAACAATTCTTCCAAATGTAAAGTTACACATTCAAATTCTAAGTGATGAAAAGTATGAGTACGGTCGTATGGTCGCGAACAATTCAGAGCCATGTAACACAGTCTCCAACAACTGATCACATCAATACCACAAATCCTAACCGAGAGATCCGCACCTATTCAGTTTATTTCAGTGGTCAGTATTTTCATGGACTGATTTCATGTCTTAATTTGACTGTCCCTAGCATTCTTCCAACCTGCTTCTACAACAGGCAGCATTGCGCGACTAGGTAGTCGTTGAACAGACACACGTAATACGTATCCTAAACATCACAAATGAGAAATATTCATTATGTCATAAGTCGATTTGCTATACTTAACTAGTACCCTACGTTTAACCTCAAAGTTGCTCACTTGTTGCTCCTAACAACACTAGAGATCCTGTTGTTCACGATCAAGTTTATTCATCACTTCTAAGAGTTCTTTCTATCCAAACGATCAACCCTTCTTTTATGACTTTCTCAGTGAATCATAAACGACTAACCATATTTCACAGAACTGAGTGCTTAAAATATGTTCATACAAAACGGTTTGCATAGCATCAAACGAAGTGAACAATTCATAATGGACACAAGAAAATACAGAACAAAATTGTCGAGAAGTTTCTACAGAAAGACGTCTAGACACACTATAATACTATCCACATTAACGTATTCAGTGGGAAAATTCAACAATCTATGTTGATGGTTCCATCCTCAAACCGATGAGATATTCTTGTGGTATTCATATACCACTCACATGTTCAATGAAGTCTTTCAGTTCACACACATTTCATCCACAATAATATAACTGCTTGTGGTACCTGTTCAAATGTCTACTAATCGTGGACTTGAATTCACAATTCAATGTACTTAGAAGAAGGACAATGAATGATGGGAAATAACAAAATTGTCATCATCTATATGTCTACATCTTCGTCGATGTGAAATGCCAAACTATAGAGTCTTCACAACATCAATGTAGGCGAAACCATTATGTTGTATTTCATCTACAAACATTGTCCATTCCATCTCTGGTTTCATCCACTCAATATACAAGCCATAGGACACTTTGAACATATACATATATTTCCACTTGAATTGTAATGCAATGCACACCTAGCATGTGTCACATTGAAGTATGTTGATGTTGGAGCTCCCAGATTTTCCTAGGACATTTGTCGACTGATGGATTCATAATCACTGTTAATTTCATAACCGTATTCATGAAATTTCCACTGACGACGATATTGTTAAGTTAAAGAATGCAAACAGTCAATTGTACAGTGATAAATCTCACTTCTCATGTAGACATGTTTGATGAAGTGTAAACCGTTACCCGTTATTCTTGTGAACTCCTCAATTACACTATTCAAATTGTTACATTAAATGATACACCAAAGATAATAATCTACTGAGCTAAATAGTGACATTATATCTGTATTGTGAAAAAGGAAGTGATTTGAAATTGCACTCACTATTTAAATTCGACGGTAATAATCCTTGAAACATGGAACCTGATTCACACGCTTCAATATAAATCACTAGTCTTGAATAACGTTTGTGTCTATAAAGGTATTTCAGCGTTGCCATAAATCGTTTGGCATATAACTTGAAAGAAATATACAGACATAGGAAATAAGATGAATTGATTATTCTGTTATAAATGTATGACACATAGCCGACTTGAATTATGAGTGACACGACTCAGACTCATTTAAAGTGAAGTAAATACATTCACTCTTCATCTTCCTCCAGATCTTAAGTCAGGGTATATTTTCATGTCATTCTCGACTAACTGGATGAAATTGAAGTCTCATTAGGAGACAGCAATTATGGTTCCGTTGTATGAGAAGTCATTGATCATATCTTTATTTAAAACTTTATTAATCGAAACGTAAATACAGTTAAACATCTCCATTTGAGTAGTTATGCTTTTAAATTATCTATGTATCTAAAATTGAAACTAATAAAGGTGAATCTAGTGTATCAATATGATGATGACTATGATTGTGTATGTTTTATAGAATTATCTAATGCCATTTCAAGTAATTATAATAATCAAATGATCAAGGATTTTCCAATCAACTACTAACGGGAAAATGAATATGTTACTCAGAGTCAATATAAATGCATTGGTACGATCGAGAGTGGGAAGAGTAAGCTCTCCCTCTCGAAATGGTCACACATGACCACGTGCATATAACCACTGCCAGAGAAGTCCTACTCACTACCTTCTTGCACCACGAGTGTTGTCTACGGAATCGAGAGGACGAAAAGCGAATATCCTGGTTTGGTGGACACGAAGAGTTCACCTAGGGGAGTTAGAAAACCCTGATTCCAAACCAACAGTGTACATGGGCTCCGAGATCCTGATTGAACAAATAGCGTATGAACCAATCGTTGGTGATCGATTACCAAGGGACTGCATCTCCCGACGTTGCTCCACTGCCTTGTGGATCAGACGTTTAGGTCGAAAACTCAGAGTGTGGCCCCCTAAGAAAACCACCTGTTTCACTTTTGGCACCCGGACAGTATCCCAGCCCTCACGTAAATTGAATGATTCATGTGGCGCGTATCTACTTGGTGCTCTCTTGTACCTATGTTTATGTGTTTAAATAAATAAACAAACAGTAAATAGATTTCTTCCCCAATATACGTGACATTATGATGGTTATATTAAACAACAAACTATGCAACATTAAGTCAAAATAAACAGAAGTTCAGTTTGAATTAATTAAGTAGGACCTATATAAATCGCTTTTCAATCATTCTTACACATATATTATTATCCTTGATAACTCTAAAGTGAATATCATGCACATACTGTGAAAGTATTTGACTAAGTTGACAAAGATCTTAAGTTTTCAAAATCAACACATATCAAACCTAATTAACGGTTATGAAGATCCAAACAATAGTGATTGCATCCATTCGTTTTCCCACAATTTTAATGAATAGGAATGATAGTCATATTCTGTAAAATTAGAAGAACGAATACACCAACTAATAACCGTGTATATGTGGCAGTATGAAGAAACCTATGGTTCGTCCTACCCGTTTATGACAGCATAATATTGGATGTGGAGAATTTCATTATTTCGACAACCACTGGATCAGTGCGGTAATGATCTACATTTTCCTACATATACAACTATCATTACCATCCAATGTTACTGGTAGATAACAGTTTCAATCTCGTTGGGACTGAATACATAAGTCACTGATTATGTATTTGTTATAACGCTTGGTTTTACTTCGTCTAATGTTATAACGGTTGGGTTCCACGTTTACACGTATGGGACGTTAATTTACCTTAAACGATTATTTACACTGGATCCCTCCCAGTGTCTATTCTACAGGACGTCAACACAACTCAGATCAAGAACACGTAATTAGCCTGACCACAACATGAGTATATTTCCACGCTAAAAACCGACACAATCCACAACAATGAACAATCAATAACAAGTGTTTCACAAAAATAAGGATAAGGGAATATATAACTTATTTGACATCTATCAGACTATCTACATGTCTGACTAATCAGACGACCAATCATGATCATTCTTATCCACACATCAGTATTCGGAACATTTTAGAATTCATGTTGATGGAGTTTTGTTCTCTGAGCTGGATGGTTTGGCAGTGGAGATTTCATCGTTCTTTTGAACGACATCATCAGCACAAACTCCAGATAGAAGTGAAGTGTTTGAATTTCTTCATATGTGGTTCACAGCTTGTCCTGTACACCTCAATGTTGAATTGTTCTTGTTGACTTTGAATTTGTCATTGTTTACTCCTTTGCTTTGGTTGTGTATCCCATTGGTTTGATTTTTGTTCATATGTTTGTGCATAATTTTTCTGAATGATTGATAAATTGGATCGATTTGTTGATTACTGAAATCATTAGTTGTTTTCCGTTTCTTTGTTCATTTTTTTCACAACCTTCATTGACAAACGGAGCTTTCAGATTATGTGCATCTGATCGCTAACCAAGATGGAACAAACTGTGATTCTGATTGTCGAGTCACTATCATCCGTCAAAAATAATCCACTGTAGTAAGTGACTGAGCATTTACTCTCTTTTACATACATTAGAACACTATCAACGAATTTGGTAAAACACTAGGTCAAAAGGTTGATGGATCTAGTGACTTGAAATATGATTTATGGCAGTTGGAATCAGTATCATCTGTGAGTAAATCGTTGCAGACTACTCCATAAGCTAAGCCTTATCAGTCAATTAAACAAGGAGACATAATCTAATCTACATCACAAAGTTGTCCGAAAATCACGTGATGAAAGATATAATTACCGAATTATAGATGCTAACGAACACTGATATACACTTACGTCATCATCAGGAAAAGCAATTAGACCCGGTGCACCATGATCAGTAAAGTATATGAATACATCATCATTTTTCCCACTATGAACAGAATTTAAACAAATAATCTGATTAGTTAATCGATAAAGATCACTTTGATTGACAACAGCTAAAATGTTGTTTCAAATCACTGACTACTGAACAAGTGATTTACATCAACATGACGACATGGAAACAAACTTGATAAATTTATTTCGAATGAAAAATGAATGATTTATACTACTAAATCACATTACTCACGTCACTCTACTGACATTCTTTGCAAATCGATAGTGATTTCAGTGTACAAATTTAGTTAGATTATGCATAACATACATGATAAGACAACAAATAATTTTCAAATAAGTGGCCGTAGAAACGTTACACAGAAGGATGTAGTATCTCGAGACACCACTCATACTAGAGTATCTGTACCTCATGCATTTTAAAGTTGCATGCCATCGTGTAAACATAGAATTCGTGTTCAACTACTAATACTCATTAGCTTCGCCTGTAGCTCTTTTAGAGTAACTGCCAGTCCCAAGCCCGGGTAAAGGAGAAGGGTTGGCATGGGGTTAGCGACCCCATCCCGTAGAAAACTAACTCACTAAAAAACGCTAATCAGAAAAAATAATTCAAACCACTTAAACTGTCCCTGGGAGTTAAAAGGTCTTCATTTAGAAGAACTATGACGTCTCATGGTGAAAGCCGAGTTCCTTCGGAAGCCACGAGGCCGATGCCCCTTCTAACAACCAGAGCAACAATTTTTATAGGTACATGGAACGTCCGGACAATGTGGGAGACCGGGAAGACCAGTCAACTAGCAACAGAAATGAGGAGATACAACTTGGCAGTACTGTGAATCAGCGAAACCCATTGGACCCAAGCTGGACAACAAATGCTAGCTACGGGAGAGATGCTGCTATACTCCGGTCACGAAAAGGAAAATGCTCCACACACTCAGGGAGTCGCTCTAATGCTGTGCAAAGTAGCACGGAATGCACTTGTAGGATGGGAATCTCACGGATCCAGAATCATCAAAGCATCATTCAAAACAAAGAAGGAGGGGATCACAATGAATATTATCCAATGTTATGCACCCACCAATGATAGCAACGACGACATTAAAGAACAATTCTACGAGAGGCTGCAATCAATCATAGTGAAGTGCCCAAGAAAGGACCTAACTATTCTGATGGGAGATCTAAATGCCAAAATCGGAATAGACAACACCGGATATGAAGATATCATGGGACGAAATGGATTGACTAGGAGAGAGAAACGAAAGTGGGGAAAGATTTGCAAATCTATGTACATTCAACAACTTTGTCATAGGAGGCACAATATTTCCACACAAACTTATACACAAAGCTACATGGATCTCAACGAACCACACTACAGAGTATCAGATAGATCATATTTGCATCAGCAAAAATTTTCGAAGGACAATGGGAAATGTGAGAATCATGAGGGAGAGGAGCTGACATAGCTTCAGATCAACACCTAGTTATGGCCAATTTAAAACTGAAGCTAAAGAAGAACTGTACAACTGGACAAATAGCATCACAAAGGTTCAATACAGCCTTCCTTCGAGATACTGACAAACTCAATGAATTTAAGATAGCTCTCAACAACAAGTTCCAAGCCATACAAGATCTACTGAAGGAAGAAGAAACTACTATGGAGGACAACTGGAAAAGTATCAAAGAAGCATTAACTTCAACGTGTCAAGAGGTTGTGGACCTCAAGCTGGATTCCGTAAGGATCGGTCGTGCACAGAACAAATTGCGACACTACTGATCATCGTCGAACAATCAACTGAGTGGAACTCGTCACTGTACACCAACTTCATTGATTATGAAAAGGCATTTGACAGTGTAGATAGGAGGATATTATGGAAACTTCTTCGACACTACAGAGTTCCTTAGAAAATTGCCAACATTATCCGGAACTCATGAGACGGACTACAATGCACGGTCGTGCATGGAGGACAGCTGACAGATGTATTCCAAGTAAAAACAAAAGTCAGACAAGGCTGTTTACTCTCTCCCTTCCTCTTTCTTCTGGTGGTTGACTGGATTATGAAGACCTCGATATGTGAGGGAAAACACGGAATACGATGGACAGCTCAGAACCAATTAGATGATTTGGACTGCTCAGATGACCTAGCCCTCCTATCGCATGCACACGAACAAATGCAGATAAAGATAGTCAGTGGAGCAGCAGTCTCTGAATCAGTAGGCCTCAGTATACACAAGGGTAAAACCAAGGTCCTCAAATTCAAGACGAAGAACAGCAATCCAATCACTCTTGGTGGCGAAACTCTGGAAGATGTAGAATCCTTCGCATATCTGTGAAGCACCATCAATGAACAAGGAGGATCAGATGCAGACGTAAAGGCGAGAATTGGCAAAGCAGGGCTGCATCCCTACAGTTGAAGAACATATGGAACTCAAAACAACTTTCAACCAATATCAAGGTTAGAATCTTCAATACGAACGTCAGGAGAGTTCTACTGTATGGAGCTGAAACTTGGAGAACTACAACAACCATCATCAAGAATGTACAAGTATTTATAAATGGTTTTCTACGCAAGATACTCAACATCCATTGACCGGACACAATCAGTAACAGCCTACTATGGGAGAGAACAAACCAGCTTCCAGTTGAAGAAGAAATCAGGAAAGGACGATGGAAATGGATAAGACATACATTACGCAAATCGTCAAACTGCATCACGAGACAAGCCCTAACTCTGAATCCTGAAGGGAAGCGGAAAAGAGGAAGGCCAAAGAACACATTACGTCGGATAATAGAAGCAGATATGAAAAGGATGAATAAAAACTGGAAGGAGCTGGAAAGGATTGCCCAGGACAGGGTTGGATGAAGAATGCTGGTGAGCGGTCTATGCTCCTCCACGAGGAGTAACAAGCGTAAGAATGTAAGTACTAATACTCATCAACTGAGAGCCAACACTCAGAATCCTCTACAGTCAACAATCATTTTCAAAGCTTGTTTCAACTTGAATGGAATCAACCCACTTTAACACGATTTACTTTAATTTGGTTGATTAGTATGTGTAATGCTCGTGAAAAATCCATCAAATTCATACCATTTCACTCCTAAATCTATAGAGTTTTGAGACAACTAACTCAACTTCGTTGCATGAATCGATTTACTTAATCGAATGGTCACAATACAGTTTGATAGATTGATTCATTGATTGAGAGATAGAAGCTCATTAGTACATGATATGACAGATGAGTGTCACCTCTGAACGGATGAAATACCGATTAAATATATCGATTATTCTAACAAACAATTACAATAATGAAGTGTATACCTGTCGACAGGTCTAATTAGTATGTTACACTAACCGGAAATGGAAAACCTGTCACCACAAATCCAGTAAGATCGGATTAAAGAGAATAGAAGGAAAATCGGAAGGAATTATTAGCTGAAAGAATCGTACAGAATATGAAGGTAAGTTTCAACCTGAATGAAATCGATCCAATCTAACAGATTCAATTCTACACAACATGGAATCAAATTCACACGATTTACAACACAGATGTTCATACAGACAGTGCTATACTGTGGAAATAAGACGATGAGTGCCAATCCATAGGAAATATATATTCTGTTTCCTCTATGGAAGGTTGATAGTTTTGATTCTCAAGTAAGCACACATCGGCGTTGACTCACAACTGAGTGAACACACTTCGGAAATCAACACTGATCAGTAGATAACTGTAACAAAATTACTATCCAATGACCAAACAGCATAGGTGAGAAATTTCTCACAACACACAAATAGCACAACATATTAGACCGAAGAATTTCATTATCGGATGTGGTTAATGGGAATTGGTGAATGATTACGAGAGAGATCTCACCGTTTCTACAGCTCAAATTAACATAACAACCAACTCTGAAATGACTCGCAAATTCGGACTACTGTCAAATTCTGTCTCACTCTAATAACTATCATCACGAATTACAGTTTATACAACAAGAATTCAGATTCACACATCTGGTTATAATCAATACTGACGAATCCCATTGCATTCTGTAATACACATTACAAAGTTTATCACTGAGTAAGAGCTTCTTGTCAACTGTCCCCAACCATCTTACATCGAAGTATACTGCAGTCGATATTGAGTGTATTCGTCTAGTGGCCACAATTCAACATCATCGATAGAATGCTTTGATCACTGAGAAGAAACAAACACGACATTGATCATTGTTGAAGAGAAACCAGTGTCAGTCTCTTGTATCGATGATGTTCAGTGGTTACTCTGTTTAGTGGGTGATAACCACTCTGACTGCGAGAATGTGCAATGTTTGATCTCATTCAATGGAGAGTACCAGTTCCCTCAGTATTTGAGAATCATGTTACTGACGAGTGAAAAGTAGTATGTAGTCGAGTTCAAGCAGATCTCCATACTGATCTCCTTTCACTATTCAATGTGTATTAACCTTATTGATATCATCATTTATGTTAAGTAAAACAAAAGTGTGACAATATAAACAACTTACCTTTTCAAAACTTTTCCACCAGCGCTTTTATCTCCTTTCAGAACTTTCAGAAAAGTTTCCGAGTTGACGTTCTAGGAATAAAAGAAAATTCTTTTGTATTTGTTGAATCAGAATGTTGAATGATGAAATTTAAAAGGATCATCTATCAGATGTTGATGAATCGCAAATGCATTTTATTTCGTGTTGTACGTAAGTACGGCTAACATCATTCATTTATTCAAAATTATCGGATAGTAGAACAAACCTATTTGTACAATCCTAACTGGAATAAATTTAGTTGAGAGGAAAATAGAACAATACGTAAGCAGACACTATGGTTTTGAGTTAGATCATCATTAGTCTTCGTAGTACGCCATACCTATGAATATCTTCTCAGAAGCAGCTGAATTTGTAGATGCATACTGAAGTGGCAAACTCTGAGAATTTTTCCACTTTTTCTGTAGATATCACTGGTGTACTGGTAAATACCAACGCAAAATTAGCTGCATAGTATGTCATATTATGCGTCCCTGCTAATCTATTGGGTAGGATATCACTAGCCACGTATTAATCGAATCTTAACTTTAAGAACAGACTTTTCTTATCAGTGGTCAGTGACTTTGACTTATTTTTTCCCCACATACATGTACATTTTTAAAAGATTTGTAGGACACCCAATCTCCGTTAGTATGCTATTAATAAACTCCAAATCCTTCTTTATGATATCATCTGAGCAGATCTTTTTGCTCTGCTTGTGAGACATTTAACCTGATTTCTTCTGTGGCAAATGGGTATACACGTGTAGAAGCGTGTGTATTGGAGAGAAGAAGAGCTCTTTCTATACACGCTTATACTTAACGATCCGTCAACCCATCTTCTTAATCAGATGTCCGGAAAATTAAGTTTATCGTCACACGTCCTCACCAGTGTGATTGTCAGTGGTATACTATTGAGACGGTATGGGAGTTCTCCTTTATTGGTATTCCGCACTTCATTAATGAATGTGTCGTCGATGTGGTTGGATTATAGATCTAGTTTGTTGCTAGTCTTGTTAAGCGTTCCATTTTCTAATTTAGCTTGGAAGAAATCAGCTGAAATTGAGTTTAGATGTGAGCTTATAGCTATTCCATCAGTTTTTCTATAATAAGTATTGTTCAAGACAAAATACACCTTCACCGTACAACCTAGGAGTAAATCTTGCAATGTATTTCAGGAAAGTCAATGTTGATTTGATTCGTCGATATTTGCTTACATATAAACTCGGTAAATGAAGATATGCGATCTATTCGGATCGTGTATTTTCTATCAACATTCATACTTTCCACTACAGAAACGAAGCTGAGAACGTCTTTGACGCTCCTTTTTACGACCAATTTGTTCAGAGGCTCTAAGATTCGAATTAAACGCTCTGCAGTTTTTTGAAATAGAGAATTGCAGATATATACAAGTGGACAGAGAAGAGGATACGAATTACGAAATTTCGATAAACCGAACAGTCGTGATGTGTACGAATCATTAGGCTCAGACAAAATTCTGCTCCTTTGCTTTCGTTCCTTAAGAGAGATTGATCAGTTGCTTTCTTTAATATCATCAAGAAAAAGTTACAAACTTAACAGGTACTAAACGATAATTAGTCAGAAAATTTATTACTAAGGCTGATATAATCCTCAAGATTATTACTATGACACTTAGATTTGATGACTGTATACACTATTTAAATTTATGACAAAAATTGTATACTACTCCACAGTTCATAGGTTCCAGCTTCTAACAAACTATCCTTTACAACCAATCAAGTAATTCAATATGCAGAAACTTCTCACTACGACATCCACAATTACTTGTCACCAGTGAAACAAACCCATTCTAAATCATCTCTCTATATGAATTACTTCACGTCTAAATTTTCCAGACTCTGGAATAATCTATCACAATCTATCCGTAACGATAAAATCACTCCCATTCTTTATTCGCTGCATTGATGCATACTGCTCCTATGAAAATGCATTAAATGTTCTAGCGCCTGTAAGTGTATCATATTCCACAAGTGATATTATAGGAACTTTAAATGTTAAGCCATTGTTATTAATGAATTCCATATGTAAAACCACCTACATGCTGTCAGGTTACGTTAACACTATCCCTAGCATAGTTAACTAATTTGAATAACATCTAACATGAACAGTATATCACTGGGTCACATGACGCATGCATTGTGGTAAAGCTGATTGACATAAATTCGCTTCGTATTGTTTTACTTGTATCTTCTCATTGTTATTTAGGACTGTAATTGATCAGTATCATGTTGGCATATGTGCATACTGTGCGGATTGCCTCAGAGTTGATGTTCACTCCGAGACTCGAACCCAGTACCGTTCGCTTCAAACAACATCGCGTTATGCACTTAGCTACTGAGTCCTAATAGCCAGTGTTGAGGTAACACGTACATTATGCACATATGTCAATAAGAAACTGATCAGTTGCAGTCCTAAACATCAATGGAAGATTCCAGTAAACAATACCAAGTGAATTTAAACTTCACCGATCGCACATGCAAGTAGCTATCAGGACTCAGTATGTAAATGGAGAATGCGATCGCGTTTGACGAGAACGGTACTGGGTTCGAGTCCCGGAGTGAAAATCAAGATACAGGTACATCCAGCTGACGAGTCCTAAATAGGGCGAAACGCGCGTTCCACTGCTAACCACTATCCATCTTTGCTGATTGACATATTTTAGTAATTATTGCTTGGTTGTTTCGTGCTCTGTATTTTCATTTTATTTCCTCTAATTGTAAATAATTATCACTGATTCGATCTGGCACAGGAAATAACTTTAAATACACCGTTCATAAATCAACAGGATGTCCATTTAAGAAAAATTAAAGTTCCCAGCTTATGTATTGCATTGCTGTAAAATACATGTACTACCTAAACAATTACTAAACTAGTAAACTTAAAACATCCAATGTTACTATTTATATCAAATTGACCATGCCTGTAAACTGGTGTGAATTCTGTAATGATTATTTTTAGAATATATTATTATAATAAGCTTAATACATTTGTGTCTACTTTATCATCGCGTTATCCATTTAGCGAACGGTACTGAGTTCGAGCTCCAGAGTGAATACCAACTCTGAGAAGTAGGTACATCCAGCTGACGAGTCCTAAATAGGACGAAACGTGCGTCAAACTGAATTCCACTGCTAACCGCTATCCGTCTTTGCATATATGATGTTACTATTTATATCGAATTGATCATACCTATAAACTGGCGTGAGTAAGTATTATTTTCAGAATATATATATATATGTATATTATTATTGTTTAATGCGTTTATTTTAGTTGAGATCAGATTCATCGGAATATGGGATTTGAGCAATGTATACAAAAATTAAAATCAACTATGAAGTAAACATAATTACTTACTTTACCCTTATAATCGATCACAACTCCTTTATACCAATCACTATGGCTATAATCATTGAAAATTTTTCCAGGAAATGGATTCCTAAATGATTGATACAAAACGATATGAAAATCATTTAAACATAATTTGCAAATTAAAATTATAATGTAAATGCATATTGATGGAAATTATCAGATATTGGTACAGTTGTAGGTACAGTTGCTAGGTGGATGGTTTAGTTGTGATATTTATTAGACATCTATTTCGTAGAAAGGGGTTGATTACCATTGTAAGAAAAGATCAACACTTAAGATATGCTATTATTTTCAACAACTGAATCATAGATTTCAACAATAGATTCAGAGTTGGTACTTCTGTAGTGAACTAGAACACAAGTGGGGACAATAGAATGTATTTAAACACAGAATTACAGAATCACTTAGTGAAATCAGAGAACCACGCAGTAAGCACTTCATTTGCAAAATATCAATCAATTGTCTCAAACTTGATTATTCTTTCGTTTTCAAACCAATCATTCTTTGTCAGAATGGGTTTTGTGGAAATTTTAGAAATTTCACAGATTGAAATCATGAGTCTCACGGGGGGCGGGATCGAGGATGAGCATTGCTGAGGAGTCCCATACTAGGATGAAACGGCCGTCCAGTGCTTCCAGGTTTTCCATGGTGATCTACCTTCAATTGACTGAAGATTTCAATCTGTGCAATCATTCTTTGTTGTCTTTCTCTTTTCTTGGATCTTCATAACCTTCTGCCTTGAGGCATTTCACTTTCTATTGGTGTTACATACTACTTATATCTGTTGACATCTATAACACACATCATACTTTATCGAAAGAGATCAATTGTTTGTATGGATATCGATATTGATTTTACCTTCATTAAAAAAAATTATGAGACTCAAAGAAAGAACATTTTTTAATTCTCATGGATAAACTAACTTTCATTAGATTAATAAATTCATAGGAATGATACAGGTGAGACTATCAATTATGAATGAACCAATCAGATTTAAGATAACTAGTGTCAAATTTCGGCGCGAAATTCACTCATTCATTCAGATAAATAGAGTTTTGGGATTATAGCTTATGTCAGTTCAAGATTTGATAACCCTAAATTTGATATGTAACCCTAACTATCAACTATAATTCATCACTCGAATTCTTTACACTAATTTATAACCTTCAATTAGTCCTAGATATTAGGTGAACACTTTTAAGATTATTTCCTGTGGTGGTGAAGATTTGTAGCTCAGGTGAATGATTTTGATGGGGTTTTGTTCTCTGAGCTGGATGGTGACATCAAGTTTACAATAGAACAGGCGCCAAACAAAAAATATCATTCTTGGATATATTAATCACTAGAATCGACACAGGAAAACTAAAAACTCAAGTGTATAGGAAACCGACCCATACAGATCAAACTCTCAACTGCAACTGCAACAACCCAAGAGCTCACAAAACCAACTGCATACATACTTTGTTCAAAAGGGGAGGACACGCTGCCAGCACGAAAAAATGAAGAGAAATACCTGAAGGATGTATTTCAAAAGAACGGCTACCCAATCATCTTCATCAAAAAATACCAATCGCATGCAGCATCAGAACCTAAGTCAAGCACAGAAATAAACAAAAGGATCACCCTACCATACATAAAAGGCATATCAGAAACCGCAATGAGACTGCTGAAAACCTTCGGGATAGGTGTGGCACACAGACCGATAAAATCACTACAATCGATCCTATGCAAACTAAAGGATGAAATAACAAAAGAAGACAAATCAAACATCGTCTACAAAATAAATTGTGCCAACTGCGAAAAGCACTACGTCGGACAAAGCGAACGCCCCATTCACCTTCGCCTACATGAAGATCAAATAGCAGTCAAACGCGATGATACTTCTTCACTTATATCAATACACGTGGACAACTGCGGACACTCATTCACTTGGAAAAATGTGGAAATCTTAGACAGAGGAAACTCCAAAAACACCAGAGAATTTTTAGAAGCTTGGCACTCAGGTCAATCAGCAATCAACAAACATATTGAAATCAATCCAATTTATCAACCAATCAGGAAAATCATGCACAAATATAAGAACAAAAATCAAACCAATAGGTGACACAACCAAAACAAAGAAGTAAACAATGACAAATTTCAGGTCAATAAGAATCAATCAACATCGAGGTGCACAAAACAAGCTGTGAAACACATATGGAGAAATTCGAACACTTCACATCTACCTGAATTTTGTGTTGATGATGTCGTTCAGAAGAAGGATGAAAGCTCCATGACCAAATCGTCAAGCTCAGAGAACTAAACTCCATCAAAAATTATTTCTTGTGTTTATTTGATTTTAATTTAACACATTGGTATAATATGATAAACTTATAGTTGATTAATAATTGAACAGTGTCCAGTGTTATGTTTGTCTACAGTTTGAAATTTTGATTTCATTATATCAGACATGTTATTAGTGTAACTACTAGTTGAAATGAATTGACATTGTGAAGATTGTTTTGAGGCTTTAGATCGGTTTCCAGTCGATTATTACCATGTTACTTACAAGGTGTAAGTCAGTTGTTTAAATTTTGCACAGAAATTTGACTGGAGATGCATTTAGATATTTTCGAGAATATAAACATTGAGAGTGTCACTTCAGTTGAAATCTATTCATTTTCATAAGGACACTTCATCTCAGTGATAAGTTTCAAAACAGAATGACGTCAGATAGAGGATGATTGAAAGTCACAAAGTGATGGACAGATGTTTTAACCCATTTAACAACTCTTAAGTAATGCTTATGCACTCGCTCACGATCCCACAAGGAATCAAAAATAGAAACTTCTGATTTTTTGACCAGCATATTTTTTATTCAGTTTAATGTGTGTGTGTGATTTCGTCGTTCAAGGACTCTTTCAAGAATTCAATTGTCTACAATTTAGTATATGAAACCGTAGTGATAGAGGTAGTAAGAGTATAAGCAGTAATCGGAAAGATTAGGGTTTGGAGATGTTATTTAAGGAGTATAATCCAGTGAAATAAATTTGGGAAGAGAAAAAGAAAAGGGACATTAAGAATTCAGATGATTAGAGTATGGGAGAATATAAAGAGTGGATGCACCTGCGCCATTACAAACGATTTTCAGCCATCTCATTCAAGGTCTCTAACCATCGGTTGCTATTATCTCGCTGATTCAGGTAGTCTACACATGGCTCAGTCCAGTTGCCAGTGACTTCATATGGGTATCAAAGGGTAAGTGAATTCAATGCATTATGTTTCAGTATATATTTATCCAATCATTGGGAATCAAACAGTTGTAAGTAGGCACTAATTACTGACAATGGAAGTGGATTCTAGTCAGTTAGTTCACTTCCTTATAAGTTATACTATATAAATTATTCAATAATTAGTCAATAACAATACTAATTTATACATTACAAAAATATTTATTTATTACTTACATCTTATTATGAGCGATATCATCATACATCATTGTGATAATATGTTCAGGTTTTATACCATTCGAACGTAATACATGGTAAGCATGACAGACATCTGCCTATATTTGTAAAAAGAATATCATTTAATAAGCAACTTATGTATATATACACACCTTATTATTGAGTATCAACTACCGAAGAAACTTTGATTTGCTTGTTTACTTACGTATTTATGTCCCACTCACCACCTCAGGAGTCTTTTCCTAATTCCGCTTCAGATGGAAGCTGATCTATTCTCTATCACAGAAAGCTGTTACTGATGGTATCCGGCAAACAGACATTGAGTATGTTACGTAGACAACTGTTTATAAATACTTGTACATGTTTAATGATGGTTATGGTAGTTCTCCAAGTTTCAATCCCATATAACAGAATTGTCTTGACGTTCGTATTGAAGATTCTGACTTTGATATTGGTTGACAGTTGTTTTGAGTTCCATATGTTCTTCAACTGTGGGAATGCCGCCCTTAATTTGGCAATCGTTGTTATTGCGTCTGCATCAGATCCACCTTGTTCATCGACGATGCTTCACAGGTATGTGAACTTTTCCACCTCTTCCATAGTATATCCATGAAGTGTGATTATGTTCTTCATGTTGCATTGGATGATCTTGGTTTTCCCCTTGTGTTAAATGAGGCCTTCTGATGTAAAAGCTACTACTAAACTGCTTGCCTTGATCTGCATTTGTTGATGTTTATGAGACAAAAAAGCAAGATCATCTACAAATTCCAAACTGTTTAGTTGCATCTAAGCTGTTCATCTTCTCAGGTACATTGTGGTATCAAATAAGATTTCACAAGGTCATCGTATCCACATTGTCAAACGCATACTCACAGTCAATGTAGTTAAGGTATAGGGGTAAATTCGATTCAACTGATTGCTCAATAGTGATCCGTAGTATCTCGATTTGGTCTGTATATGACCGTACTTACGGAATCCAGCGTGTTGATATCAACGTTGGACATCTGTTGCATCTTTCATTTAGTTTGGCAACACATTTGGAATCGTTATCTGGTGCTGATGTTAGTGTTATGCTCTGTAGTTCTCATACTTTTTGAAATCTCTTTTCTGTAGCATGTTGATGTGGTATCCCTACTTCTAGTCTGTCAGTACTTGTTCCTCCCCCTCCTAAATCTTTCTGAAGTTCACATTGAACATCTTCGTAGTCACTTCTATATCTGACTTCAGTCCTTCAAATGGTACACTGTCCGATTCCGCGGCCTTCGTAGGTAGGTCTGTATGTGCTGCTTCGATGCCCAATGGGTTCACTGAATCTGATTTATTCAAAAGCTCTTCAAAGTGTTCTACTTATCTATTTAACTGCTCGTGAATCTCAGTGATTGGATTACCTTCTTTATAATCGATCAATTCTCTTTAATGACACATTTAAGTGAACTGGAAACGTAACACACTTCAATTGATATTATCTAGGTAGTTGAAAAATATATAAACTAAAGTAGGAGAAATTTAGTTGTGGTATATTTTCACCATCTTTCTTGTACTATGAATTACATAATATCTTATTGAGTTATAGGGTGCCCATTTCAATTAAATAAAAACCTAGTTTAAAATCTTTCAATAATTCATTAGTACAGAACTTTCCAGGTACTTCCATCAGGAGTTTCAAGTGACGGTTGCGGAAGATTGCAAATATCACAAAGTCTGTTGTCATACACGTTTTTGTCATTGTTGTCGTCTCGTTTAGTAAACTCCTCTGAGTTAATTGAAACAATTTCCTCTTCGTCATTGCTTAACGTTGCATCCATATCGACGTTATTTTGATAGTCGGTAACTTACAAAAGATGAAGGAAGAACATTAAGTGTTCACGGAAGTCCTTTATGAAAAATTATAATAACACTAATCAAATTACTTCCGTCTACTAGGCTGTGAAGAACCGCTAGGGGTTTTACGGCCATTTCTGTAACATACGAATTTAATATACGACTTCCGATTCCTATGAAAATGAGAATCTCGCACCGCATAATGGCAGTACGTAGCTCTTTCATAAGTTCTAATGGCGCTCTTCAACGCTTCAAAAGATTGGAACGCTACGAGATACAATGTACTCAAGAATAGATTGTCGGTTTCTGTGACAACGTGGGAAACGACAGAGCTTGTGCTTTGCATGTTACTACTGTCCATAATTGGAAGAAAATGTGCTCTGTCGTCAAGTCCTGACATTTTATATCAATTTTAAGAAATAAACGACTAATTATAACGAATTTAAAACTAGCCATTTGTTTGGACGAAACAGAATGGAAATTATAGGGAGATGAGGATGAAATATTTTTCCAAAAAGGATGAAAAAATAGTTCAGCCAAAAAAATAAAAGAATAGCTGTGCAATTAATGTTAACTCGATGGTCTAGCTTCAACTGACTCATGATTTCAATTAGTGAAATTTCTAAAATCTCCACAAAACCGATTCTGATAATAATCATCTGCTCACTAGTGACTAACTTCAAGAAACCATTACCAGTGCAGTTCAACCAGGTCTGTTGTGAGAATCAACTCTTTGAAAACAATGGTATACGGTGGCGTAACTTCGTGAATTGGTTGAAGTTAGACATTAACACCATTGGATGCCGGCCGTCTCAGTGGTCTAGTTGGTTAAGCGCCTGGAGCGAGACTCATAGAACCTAGGTTCGAATCTCACGGGGTGCGGAATCGTGGATGTGCATTGCTGAGGAGTCCCATACTAGGACGAAACGACCATCCAGTGATTCCAGGTTTTCCATGGTGGTCTAACTTCAATTGACTCATGATTTCAATCAATGGAAATCACTATAACTATCATAAAGTTTAATTAGGTTAGTAACATACATTCTAATATAGTTTAATACTTATATTCATTGATTGTTTACTCATTATAATCAATAATGCTTACTTACTTGATGTCTATAATTGTAAAAACCATTAGATCCAGCAACTAAAATAGCCCATTTATTCTTATCACTAAGATTTTCATCAAAATATTCAATTGTTGAATTGAATCTTGATTGAACGAATACAATAGATAAACAATGAATGAGGAATATAGAAAATCGTAACATTCTATTGAATAATACTTGATGAATCTATTCAGAGATGATTTATATATTTATAGTAAAATGATATGGATACATTTCAACCCACATAATGAACTTTGAATCCAACTAAGTAGTCATATCATCCATGCATATCATTTTTTGTTTGTTTTTTTCGTTGTATTTTTCTCTTGAAATGTTTCTCAGAATAATAACAAGTTCAATGTACAATAGTTTTTTTTTTAATTATCTTTGTTTACATGGTAACAATAAAACCATAAAATGAACTTGAATATTATTAAGATTAAAGTGTAAAACTGTTGTTTTTTTTTGTTTTTTGTTTTGTTTTTAGGCATTCAAACTTTATTATTATTGAAGATAATTTTATAATTCATTTGAATAAAGAAATAATTATGATTTCATTCATAATTGGTTGACCATAAATGTTCTGGTACAGAAGAGAGTGAAGAGAGTGAACTCTTCCTCTTGAAATGATCTCATATGATTACGTGAATACAACCAATGACAGGGAAGTTCCAGTTTAATGCCTTCTCGTTGCGGGTATTTTGTTTGCGAAATTGAGAGGATGGAAAGCGAATGTTCAGCACTTATAACGGTTGGTGGATATGGAGAGTTCAACTAGGGGAGTTGAAAAACCTTGATTCTAAACTATTGGTGTACATGGACTCTAGGGTCCCGAAGGAACAAATGGCATACTTACTTACTTACTTACTTACTTACTCACTTACGCCTGTTACTCTCAATGTAGCATAGGCCACCGACTAGCATTCTCCATCACACTTTGTCCTGGGCATTTCTTTCTAGTTCTATTCAATTTTTGTTCATTCTTCTCATGTCTATCTTCATTTCTCGGCAGAATATGTTCTTTGCTCTTCCTCTCCTCCCTTCGACTTCAGGATTCCAAGTGAGGACTTGTATTGTGACACAGTTGAGTGCTTTCCTCAATTTGTGTCCTATCCACTTCCAGCGATTCTTCCCGATTTCTTCCTCCACTGTAATTTGGTTTATTCTCTCCCACAGTAGACTGTTGCTGAAAGTGTCTGACCAACGGATCCGAAGTATTTTGCGTAGACAACTGTTAATAAACACTTATATCTTCTGGATGATGGTTGTAGTAGTTCTCCAAGTTTCCGCCTCATACAGTAGAACTGTCTAGACATTTGTATTGAAAATTTTGACCTCGGTGTTGGCTTGTGTACAGTTGTTTTGAGTTGCAGATGTTCTTGCGTTGTAAATATGCTGTTCTTGCTTTTTCGATCCGCACCTTTACATCTGCATCAGATTCACCGTGTTGATCAATGATGCTGCCCATATATGTAAAGGTTTTTACATCTTTCAAAGATTATCCCTCAATCGTGATTGGATTAGTGCATGTTGTGTTGTATCCGAGAATCTTGCTTTTCCATTTGTGTATGTTGAAACCTACTGCTGCTGAGGCTGATGCTACACTGGTCGTCTTCTCCTGCGTTTGTTGGTGCGTTTGCGATAGAAGAACCAGATCATCCGCGAATTCTAGATCGTCCAGCTGCATTTCAGCTATCCACTGTATCCCGCGTTTCCCTTCACGTGTTGACGTCTTCATGATCCAGTCGATCACCAGGAGAAAGAGAAAAGGTGAGAGTAAGCAACCCTGCCTGACACCAATCTTTTTTTCGAACGACTTTGTCAACTGTCCTCCATGCACGATTTTGCAGTGTAATCCATCATATGAACTCTTTATGATATTGACTATCATCTGAGGCACGCCATAGTATCAAAGAAGCGTCCATAGTGTTGTTCTGTCCACACCATAAATGCTTTCTCGTAGTCAATGAAGTTGATGTAGAGTGATGAATTCCATTCAATTGATTGTTACACAATGATCCGTAGAGTTGTGATTCGGTCTGTACACGATCTATCCTTACAGAATTCTGCCTGTTGGTCACGAAGTTGCGCATCTACGGAGTCCTTCATTTTGTTTAATAATACCCTGTCGAAGTCTTTTCCTTGTATTGAGCGAAGAGTGATTCCCCTGTAGTTATCACACTTGCTGAGATCGCCTTTCTTTGGTATCTTGACCAAAATTATTTTTCCAGTCTTTTGGTACTTGTTCCTCATCCCAAATCTTATTGAAGAGAATGTGGAGTATCCTTGCAGTTGCCGCTACGTCTGCTTTCAGTTCCTCTGCTGGAATGTTGTCTGGTCCTGCTGCTTTGCCACTCTTGATTTGCCTGGTGGCCATGCTGATTTCTTCAATTGTTGGTGGGCCAACATTGATTGGGAGGTCCTTGAGTGTTGCTTCGATATTGGGTAGGTTCAGTGGAACTAGTCGATTCAAGAGTTCTTTGAAGTGTTCTACCCACCTGTTTTGTTGTTCTTCAATGTTGTTGATTACCTCGCCTTCCTCGCTTTTCACTGGTCGTTCTGGTTTAAGATAACTTCCAGAGAGTTTCTTTGTTGTGTCATACAATTTTCTCATGTTTTCTTCTCTTGCAGCCTTTTCCGCCGTCATTGCTAGATCTTCCGTATATTTACGTTTGTCGGTTTCGGTGCTCTTCTTCGCTTGACTGTTTGCTTTTGCGTATTCAGCTTGTGCCTTGAATTTCTCTTCTCTTATTCGGCTGATAATGATTCCTGCCTTCTTGAATTTTATCCAGTGTATCGACAGTGATCCATTCATTGTGATGGTGCTCCTTGTGGCCCAGAACCTCATGATATGTTGGAGTGATTGCCTTTTCGATCTCTTCCCAGATGCTCTCCATTGAGTAGATCATGAAAGGTTTGGAACCTGTTGCTGAGGACTATCTTGAATTTGTTGAGATTGTCAGTATTCCGAAGAAAAGTTGCATTAAACTTTTGTGATGTTGTCCGCCACATTGTCCTGTGCTTCTTCAGTTACAATTTAATCTTGGCGACCGGCAAGTGATGATCTGATGCTATATCAGCTCCCCTCTTGATTCTCACGTCTTCCATCGTCCTCCTGAACTTTTTGTTGATGCAGATATGGTCGATTTGGTTTTGTGTAGTGTGATCCAGCGAAGTCCATGTGATTTTGTGAATGTGTTTATGTGGGAATATAGTCCCGCCTATGACCAGTTTATTGAAGGCACATAGGTTTGCAAATCTCTCATCATTTTCGTTCCTTTCTCTCAGTCCGTGTCGTCCCATGATATCTACATATCCAGTGTTGTTCATTTCAACTTTGGCATTTAAATCTCCCATCAGAATGGTCAGGTCCTTTCTTGGGCACTTCTCGATGATTGACTGCAGCCTATCGTAGAACTGATCTTCATTGTAGTCGTTAATAGGCGCATAGCATTGGATGATGTTCATTGAAATGCCCTCTTTCTTTGTTTTGAAGGAGGTTTTGATGATCCTTGGTTCATGAGATTCCCATCCTATAAGTGCACTTTGTGCTTGTTTGGACAGCATGAATGCAACTCCTTGTGTATGTGGGGCATTTTCTTCTTTACGGCCGGAGTATAACAGCAGCTCTTCTGAAGCTAGTCGATGTTGTCCAATTTGCGTCCAATGTGTTTCACTGATCTCAATCACCTCTAGGTTGTATCTCCTCATTTCTGCAGCAATTTGGAAGATTCTTCCAATCTCCCACATTGTACGAGCATTCCATGTACCTAGATAAATGGTTGCGCTGGTTGTCAGAAGAGACATTGGCCTCGTAACTTCCAAAGGAATTCGGCTTTCATCATGAGGCGTCATAGTTCTTCTAAATGAAGACCTTCTGACTCCCAGGGCAGAGTTTAAATGGTTTGAATAAGTTTTCTGGTCAGCGTTTTTTTAGTGAGTTATTTTTCTACGAGACTGGGTCGCTAACCGCATGCCCAACCCCTCTCCTTCATCCGGGCTTGTGACCGTCAGTAGCCCCGGAGGGCCTCCAGGCGGAGTTGGACAAATGGCATATGAACCAATTATTCCTCACCAGCTGCCATGAGACTGCATCTCCTTACGATACTCCACTACCTTGTGGATCAGATCTTTAGGCCAATGGCTCCGGGTGTGGTCCCCTAAGAAAATCGCGTGCTTTGGTTTGCGAACCCGATCACTATCACAGCCCATACACGAATCAAGTGACTTGTGTGGCGCATATGTATTCGGTGCCTCTTTGCACCAATATTCATGTGTTTAAGTAAATAAATAAATTAGTCTGACAATTAAAGTATTTCAACTTCGTGAATAGGATCGACATCTGTTCCCATCTTTAAAAGGAGTTCACATAGTTTCTACAACAACTTTTGGTGGATTGTGTTCGAACTACTGGCTTATGTAATACTTCGCAGATTGTTCAAAATCTTCAGAAGACTGACTCATAAGATGTAGGCTAGTTTCCGTTCCGTGAGATAAATGTTATATATATAAAGATAGAGAAACCGTTCTGTTTGAGGAAAACGGTTTATTGAAAATCTTGTAACTAAACATTATTCATATATTTTGTGAATTTATTGTCAACTGGACCATGACCAACGTGAATTACTTATCAATTGTCATTGTTATGATATTTTAATGCCATGCCAACTTATCAGACACTTTGAGAGTGTTATAACTTGTAGCCTTGTGCCCTATTAATATATAACGCAATGATACCGCCAATTAGAGAACAGTGATTTATCGACTGGACCAATGACGCATAAACACGTACGAGCAATCTAGAGACTTTATAGGTCCTACTTTCTGCCTAGCCCTGCCTGTTAAGTCCAGAACATCAATCTCAGACTCTGTGATATGAATCATGTATTTCAAACATACTGGGTTTACGGGCTAACTAAACGGACTACATTGCATCACAAAATAGGAACCAAAATTTGTACAAGATCTAGCCAAAGGTGACTGTGGAAGTAGGAGACTGTAATTGATAGATATCTTAACTTCAATAGCTTTTGTCTCATCAGTTACAAAAATGGCACTTGTCAAAACACTTTGACAGAAGAGAAAAAATATTTACTGCCGATACACTAGAAGAAGAAGTTATGAATGTTGAATAGTGTTTAAGGAATAATGGATACCCACTGAAATTAATTGAGAAATATGGA